CATTTTTTACCGAAAATTCTTTTGCATAATATGTTTATAATATGAAACAGACATTTTTCANCTCTCTCTCTCTCTCTCTCTCAGCTATATGTCTGCCAAATATGGTATATTTCCACGAATTTATTAAAATTTAAATTCTATTCTTACGATATATTTTATCCATGAGTTTAATTCTCAGCGGAATTATTGGGAAAATATTTTATGTTTTTTAATATCATGTGCTCTTATATAAGAGAAAAATCTTCCTTAACTTTTTGAAATACAGGATTTTTTCAAATGAGATATACTTTAGGCAAAAGTTATGTTTCTGCGATACGTTTGGATTTAGTTTTAATGATAATTGAGTGAAATATTTGCCATCTGTTACCCCTTCAGATCGTTATTCATCGCATCCTTATTTAACGATTAATACCATTATTTTAACGTTTATTTATCAATACATATGAATGCAATGCAAGCATCCTTATAATAAGTGCACAAAACTTTGTTTTTGAATGATATATAATTATTTGAATTTATTTATATATATTTATGTAAATATTAGACATCCATTTGTTTTATTGCTATTACATAATGCGATTGATTCACGCAATTCGCATGACATGCGATATACAGTAATGGCAAAAATGGTTATTCAACACAATTTTATTGTGTGAATTTTAATTTAAAATTTTGTAAATATCTGTAGGAATAAATTTATAATTAATTAATTCTATCAAACACTAAGTTAATGCCAATTAGGAAGAATTCATTTTAACCCTTACTGTTTGGCAATAGTTTTGCCGCTTATATGGCGTTAACTGCAATACAGTGTATGTCATACTGCAATCAGATGGTATGATTGGGTTCTTTAGTTTAATCAAATCAAAGACTGATTTAGAGTCCATATTAAACGTGTACTTCTCTATAATATTATATAAACTCACTTTTTATGGATCATAAGTTTGGTGTTCAACGGATCTGAACCAATAGAGAATAAGATATTAACTGTGGAGAGAGGGAGAGAGAGAGAGAGAGAATGTCTTTAATATTAATCAACACTTTCAGACACTGGAGAACAACTCACTTCTCACTCGTTGTTTCTGTCATTAAATTATATGATATTTGAGATCTCATTCAATAAGTTCTACCTCTAAGTCAGTAGATCAGCTCTCTCTCTCTCTCTCTCTCTCTCTCTCTCTCAGCTATTGATTACTTTCTTGGGTTTTATCTTTGGCTTAAAATTACAGTCTATTCAATGGCTTTATATTTATTTAAAGTACTGTAAGTCTCATAAAAATTAATTGTTTTTAGCGATGTTTTTATGACTTATTTAGTGTTGCTTTTAATTTCCATCGCAACTAATTTCACGTATGACTTAGCGTTTCATAGAAATTTCTTTATTAAAATGTCTGCAATATCTCATTGACTTAATTAAAAAATATATTCTTGCCTAATATTATACAGCATTTTGCAGACAGCCATGGATTTACCCGAAAAATAAATATTATTTACATTTGGATGAGCCCTGTGTTTAGTCAATGAGGAGCTAATGTAATGTGCAAAACACAAAACGCTTTATACAGTAATGTTTTTCACTTAATTGTGAACAATATATAGCTTTCCATTCAATTAACGATCGCAACTAATTGCCTGAAATAATTATTTTCGAGAGCATTCATGTTTTTCACTCTATTTATGAGCCAAATGTAATCAAATTACTGAACAATTTATGACTAGTTTTATATTATTTAATATTAATTTTGACAAATGATTGCATTAATTGCGGGAATGTATATTATATTTTGATGGCAACATTATAGCAAAGCTTGTGTTTAATTTTAAAAGTAATTATATATTTAACATTTATTATACAGTGTAGAATAAATTTTATTGAATTTTGTAATATAAATACTGTTTTGTCATAAATGTTTGAAATATTTTACATTTTATGTGTCACTTTATATTCTGGATATTAAAAGCATATAAGTATAAAATGTATTCAATTCTTATGATAGTATATCGATCACTATATTTTGTCAATCGATTCCTATGTACAGAATATATAGTGAATTGAATTTCGAGTTCAAACTTCACTAACAATATTCAAAATACTATATGTTTAATATGCATATTTATTTTTGTTTCCCGTTTTCATATCATACACATTGATATCCGCATTGCATTATATTCTCAAACTTTATTTTTATTCTGAAGTTTTAGTTAAGTATTGGTTTAATGTTTGGTTATTTTATACGTTATCTCAGTCTATGAATAGATTGTCTGCTAATTATATCTCTGTTTCAAATGTTTTCGTTCCGCAGATTTTCTCTTCAAGTGTTTTGAGCTATCATTTTGTCTCAAATTGTTTGCCGTTTAAGAATATATATAGGAATTGATTTTCAATAAAAAACAAAATATTAGTTTTACATTCATTTTATATGCAAACAAATTGTATTATTTTAAAAACATTTTTTGTGAATCTAATTGTTATTACACTTGTCATTACTAATGTTTATCTGAATTATTATTCATTATAAGAAAATAATTTTTACTTTTAAGGTCTATTAGAGGCTCAGAAGGAGTTAATAACTTTTTTATCCACACTTTTTTCCACAGTTTATTGCCACGAATTAAATGAGTCTCTCTCTCTCTCTCTCTTTCTCTCTCTCTCTCTCTCTCTCTCAAAAACACATACACACAGTTTTTATATTATATACCAGTCCTTTGGATTTATTTTTCCACTTTTCCACAAAGATTACCATTTATTGTGGAATAAAATTTTCATCAAACTTCACTAACAATATTCAAAATACTATATGTTTAATATGCATATTTATTTTTGTTTCCCGTTTTCATATCATACACATTGATATCCGCATTGCATTATATTCTCAAACTTTATTTTTATTCTCAAGTTTTAGTTAAGTATTGGTTTAATGTTTGGTTATTTCATACGTTATCTCAGTCTCTATGAATAGATTGTCTGCTAATTATATCTCTGTTTCAAATGTTTTCGTTCCGCAGATTTTCTCTTCAAGTGTTTTGAGCTATCATTTTGTCTCAAATTGTTTGTCGTTTAAGAATATATATATAGGAATTGATTTTCAATAAAAAACAAAATATTAGTTTTACATTCATTTTATATGCAAACAAATTGTATTATTTTAAAAACATTTTTTTGTGAATCTAATTGTTATTACACTTGTCATTACTAATGTTTATCTGAATTATTATTATATTCATTATAAGAAAATAATTTTTACTTTTAAGGTCTATTAGAGGCTCAGGAGGAGTTAATAACTTTTTTATCCGCACTTTTTTGCACAGTTTATTGCCACGAATTAAATGAGTCTCTCTCTCTCTCTCTCAAAAACACATACACACAGTTTTCATATTATATACCAGTCCTTTGGATTTATTTTTCCACTTTTCCACAAAGATTACCATTTATTGTGGAATAAAATTTTCTCATTTCTCTAGTATTTTGTAATCTCTTTCGCGTTGAGTGTTATATAAGAAATTTTTACTCATATTGAATAAATATTTTCATGGAATTGAATTATCTTTAATGTTTAGCACAATCTTTTATATCCCTAGAAAATAATGTAATGTTATTTTGAATATTTAGATAATATAGAAACTAAATTTAAAATTCTCAAATCCAATCAATAAATTATTGGTAAAATATACTGTATCCAATTGAAAATAATTCAAATAAAAGTCTATATAACTGTTTATATTGGAAATTCATTAGTGTATAGATTTTTAGGCATTTTCTGTAGCGTATTATTTGTTGCTAACATTTATTTACTAATTATGTTTTTCCTTTACTTATAATTGTTTTTCTATTTAAATCTGTGCGAGTAATACATTTTTTCATAGAAAATTGTGTGCAAAACTTTTTTATCTCAAAATCTCATATTTGTGCGGTTTTTGTCAGATTCTAAGGACTAATCATTAGTTAAGTTTGATTTAATTAAATGCAAAAATATGTTATTATCTTATAATTTTCAAAGTCATTGTTATTGTTATAGTAGACGTCGTTTTTCGTGTAATAACTGTAAAATAAAAAATAGTTTGTATTTTTTGTTATCAAAACTTTTTATACGATTTAATTAGTGTTGTTATAAAGACCCGAAGGTTGCCATCAATTGATGTCATCTATTACTTCAATTACTGTATATCCTTAAGTATTTTTTCTAATCACGATTCCTATGCATTATGGTAACTAGGATGGAGTCCAAACCCCCACCTCCTCCTCATATTATGTCTACTTATGTCATATTTATTGTTCAATAGTCTGATTAATTCAGAAAATACCCAGAATTAAAATGCATAATATTTCGATGAGTGTGTTTGTCATTTTAATCGACTAATCATTAGAATTTATCATAAATTATGTATTTCCCATTTAATAACACTTTAGTTTAAATCAAATATCATAATTGCTTATAAAATCAATGAATTTTTAAATTAAAAGTGTTTGACTGAAATCCATTAAAATCTAAACTAGAATCGCGGATACGTTATAGCATTGCAGGCAATCTTTGTTTGTCTTTTGTTTATTATTTTTCGTGATTAACTGTTTTCATAAAAAGTTTTTATGTATAATTTTATTCATAAATATTATTAATGTTATTATAGCTAAAGGTTTGATGCATTCCATCAGAGTCTTGACCCCCGGAGTGAATAACAAGAAAAATAAATGAAGTTTTTTTTCAGTGTTTGTAATCGCATTCAAAACATAATTCTTATATTGAATTAAATGTGTGAACACTATAATAGAAGGCTTTTATAATACAAACATAAAAGTCAAGGTATTGTAGACATAATTGAATGCTTTACTACACAGTGTTATACGGAATATGCAGACATTGAGTGAAATGAATCGTTTGCATAATTGGCCCAAATGTGGGACATTTCCAATAGAAAAACAACTCATAATTGAATTGTTTATCTAACTTAACTCATATTTACTGTAGTTTTTATTGTCTTCTTGATTTTTATAACAAAAAGTGTTTATCTATTGTCTGAATAGCTATTGGATGTAGCGATGGATCCGCCAACACTTCAGGTGCCGGGAGAGGTGTCGTTCTTTATGCAATCGGGACTCATCAAAGACATCGTCAAAGTGGACACAAGCGAACTCACACTCAAGACGTTGAAGGAAAATGCCTGTACTTTCATAGATAGAAAGGTATGCATAGATTGCACAGCCATTTCCACTAATACTTCAGTTGTCACTCATGTGATAACATTTCATAACATTTGTCGAGAAATGCGATTCAATGTGCACTTCAAGTGAACAACTAATCCATAAATATTATAATCTTTTCTCATAATTATTTATGTGATCAAACATTTTTTACTGAGATCTCCGGGGGCTATGCGAATGGGTTTTCGTAAAAACGGTGCACATATTTATGGGAAATGGATGATATTCTTTACATTTATTCTTGATATAGAAATTCTTTAAATATTTTTATATTTTATAAAATTGAGACATAACTTATGCCAGAATAAGACCCGTTGAGGTTCAGAAATATATTTTAAGTACCGGTAATGATAAACTTATAACTGTACTTCAATTCTATTATACTTAACATTATTGTAGATAAGGCACTGAAATAATAGTTAATTGCATTATTTATTAATAGTTTATTAATATCTCAAGATTATTCCTGAACACAATACACACGTAATGTTTTATTACTAGTGACTATCAACGATAATATCTGTGCTTACGTTAATATAATACATTATAAGGTTGTTTGGCAAATAATATGTTTAATTTAGAGAATAAAAGGATTTGAATAGTTTATTTTAGCGTTCAATAAGTGTGCATGATATTTCACCGATTTACTATTTATAATAAATGTATTTGAATAACAGTGTGACATTTCGATGAACTATCTAATATTATATTTATAGTTGTTTATCATGTATAATTATATTAATTCCTATTTATTATTAATTTTGCTAATTCTATGAGAATCAATTGGCTTAACGTTTGCTGTATTCAAGTATTTATTTGTGTTTTTGTTGATTAATGTATTTTCTTATTTAATAATTGTTTACATCTTTAAACTTGAATTCATAATCAGTCTTCGAGTGGCGGAACACAACAAACATTTAATGTTGAGATGTTTTTCTCATGAAAATACATATCATAGAAACCGATAGAAAGTATGTGATTATCATTACATACATTGCATTAATTCAAGGCTTAGTTCAGTCTTAATGTGAGCCAATGCTAACTCTAGTGAGCGGTTGATTAGCACTATTTGTTTCGATAGGAATAACGCATAGATAGGAATAACACATAATATGATATTTGTTGTGCTTTTTTGCACATAAAGGCTACCGGTTTGATGAATGAATACATTAACTCCTCATCAAAATGTACTGATGTTTATGTCCTTTTTGAACCCTTTCCCCAACAGTACCCCGACCATGGCCTCAATCGACTCACTGAGCGCCTGATGCTATTCAGACACGACTACAACTCGCCAAACATGTTGTCGCCCATCAATGCGGCCTCAGATGTGACCGACGGAGCGCTCATCGAAATCATTGTTTCAGGTTTGCGCTCATCTCTCATCCCTAGCCGCACCATCCATTCCCTACCATTCCCTACCATTCCTTCCAACACATCGCCAGCAAACAAATCTCTTCCCAATTATGCTATCATTTCAGTGATTCTGTGCTAATACTATGCGTGCATTACAGGTAACAGTCCCTCGGAATCGGTGCAAATCAGACCCCATTACTTAGTGGTGCACTCGTATAAGGCGCCGACATTCTGTGATTTTTGCGGGGAAATGCTGTTTGGTTTAGTGCGTCAGGGACTCAAATGCGACGGCTGTGGACTTAATTACCACAAACGGTGTGCCTATAAGATCCCCAACAACTGCACGCACGGCCGGCGCCGCCGTTCGTCCACTTATTTAGTGCCAAACAGTCCCACCAATGAGTCGGCTATACATCGAACCACAAGCAGTGGACCCACTCTTACCGATGAGATGAGGGTATGTCTCACTTTTGACACTCAATTCATACTTTTTATAGTTAACGGCTTATGTAATATAAGTGTAAATTCATGAGCATATTGTATACAGGTACTGTTGTGTCTATTTTGCAGTCTAGTCAATGGATTCTCAACATTGATTATTTATAATTATTTATGCAATTATTAACAATGACAATTTAGTGAATTTTATTTTTTATTTTCATCAGTAAAGATATATTTAATATTAATGTGCAATAAATATGCTACCCACCAAATATACTGTAATATTTATAATTGATGATATAAATTCAGGTTTACTTAATGATCGGGATTCATTATATCTAATTAAATAAACATTTTAGGGCTCATTCAATAAGTAGATAATATTATTTATTTTAGCTAAAATTGACTCCACCTACTTAATTTCATCTTGCATGTTAGATAGGAATTTAACATTATAATATTATATAATAATTGTGATATATTATATCCACTCATCCCTTGTGTACTTACTTATTGAATGATCCCTTAGAATAAAAACTACAATTAAATTGAAAGAATCCAGAAATGACTTGTTTATAGTGTAAACTTTATACTTTAGTTTCAATACATTTACCTGAAGTCAGAATTGAAATATAAGTAGAGTTTTGATTGCTGTGAGAGTCCGCGCATTGCATTGCATTGCAATCGTATCATCAATACGTTTAATACCATATATTTTATCTAACATTTGATACAAACTTAAGAATATTTTTACCCAAAAATTCGATACTTTATATCGATTTTAAACATTCATCGGAAGTAGTATATAGTCGACGATATGAGAGAGTGTTTTAATTTAACGCCAATTGGAAAGCACTGTGTATTTAGGAAGAGATTTCTGAAATTAGTATTTCCTTTACAGCAAACTAATTGTTATTTTTGAATAATTACTCAAATTTCCTGCTTTTAAATACAGTTAAGATTTTTTTGTTTTCACCCAAATATTGTAATCACAAAATAATATCTCGATGTTTGTTGTTAAAATATACAAACATCTCATTCTCTCTCTCTCTCTCTCTCTCTCTCTCTCTCTCTCTGGTTTTAATAATGAAAGTAATTTAGTTTATGAAATCTTCTTCACTTTGTGTTGTCTAACAAATAGTGTGTGAATTGAAGGCACAGTTTGTCATCAAATTGTACGACAAATGCATTGACACAAGAGCTGAGAGCGGAAACGAATCAATGATTAAATCCAAGATAATGTCTAACCATTTATTATATTTAGTTTTATATTAAATATTAGATCACTTTTAAGGATTAATAATGTCATACAATATAATACCCTCTTTTGAATAGAAGCTAATGTTTAATCTACAGTAATGTCAAATATATTGTTCAGTATTTTGTTGCAAAATTTTATGGTACACTACATACTGTACAGTACTGTTTGCTTTCCTATTGCCATACAGTATAATAAGTGGTAAATAACATAGACTCAACCTGTTTAGTTTTATTGCCATTTTTATCACGTGAAACAGAAAATCCATATTTTTGTTAAACCATTTTATTTGCAACTAATTCTCGGTGAATGTCGATACACTTTATTATAGTCTTATGTCAGACACTGCGATATCAATGTTTGAAATCCATTTTCAATTGTCATTTAATTTAGAAAGTAATTGTTTATCGCCCAAAGCCATCAATTTTCTATGAGTTCATAGCATGGGAAATGAGAACCGACACTCAATTTGATGTGACATCAGTTTTACAATGAACTCCACTTATAGGCAGAAATTAGTTTATAGAGTAGTCTATGTCTAAAGCAAATAAATTCTTCCATTCGTTTCAACAAAGAATTCTGTATTGCATGGCACCGGGAGTATTGGCTCTCATTATTTTATGGAGGCGCCTATCGTCTTAAATGAATTGTCTGTTAATTTGATTTAATATTCATAAGCAAAGCGTTAATTTTGCGGAAGAAGTGCTTTTATTTAGTACCGACTCATCACACGAATGAGCCCTAAGTAGCAAAATGTTAAACATATACTGTATTACCTGCAACTGTGTATAATAAAAATAACAATATAAAGCAATTTCGTATTATTATTCAGTTTTGTATCATTCAGTTGTATTGCTGTACAGTATTATTCAGGTTAGTTATGTTCGTGTAATTATGGTTTAGTTTTTTCTCTACATTTCATCCAAAGCCATCAATTTTCTATGAGTTCATAGCATGGGAAATGAGAACCGACACTCAATTTGATGTGACATCAGTTTTACAATGAACTCCACTTATAGGCAGAAATTAGTTTATAGAGTAGTCTATGTCTATAGACTATAGCAAATAAATTTTTCCATTCGTTTCAACAAACACTTCTGTATTTCATGGCACCGGGAGTATTGGCTCTCGTTATTTTATGGAGGCGCCTATCGTCTTAAATGAATTGTCTGTTAATTTGATTTAATATTCATAAGCAAAGCGTTAATTTTGCGGAAGAAGTGCTTTTGTTTAGTACCGACTCATCACACGAATGAGCCCTAAGTAGCAAAATGTTAAACATATACTGTATTACCTGCAACTGTGTATAATAAATATAACAATATAAAGCAATTTCGTATTATTATTCAGTTTTGTATCATTCAGTTGTATTGCTGTACAGTATTATTCAGGTTAGTTATGTTCGTGTAATTATGGTTTAGTTTTTTCTCTACATTTCATCCCTAATTTTCACTCTTTATAAAAACTAATGTTATGTTGTTTTACGAGAGCTCAGCGACAAAAACTCTTTTTTGCTATATTTTGAATGACATTAAGTGTTAATAATTTAGTTTTCTCTCTCGCTTTGAGTTTTTTGTCGAGTGTTTTGACATTTTTCGAAATCATTTATATTTTATTATATCATTTCTTGAGCTTAAAAATTGTGTTAAAATTAATGAAAAATAAGAGTTTTTTATATAACATTAAATGAAAGGCGAAGTCAACACAAGAATCGTTGAGTCAATACACTGTCGAGAATTCTTGAGACACATTGAACTTCAAATCTATATATTTTTCTGGTTTTAAATGACAAATTAGTCGCTGATATAAATCTTGTGATTTTCCCGCATTTAATGGTAATACCCGCATAATCGTAAAACTGGAGCCAAACCTAGTCGCCGGTGCTCTGAACTGGTTGTACCCAATCGTACAAAATAATAAACTGTCTCTACATCAAAAATAATAAGGTTTTATGTTGTTTACTCACAACTCTTATATATTATATTTTCATTATTTATATTTATTGATTGAAAATATTTATAACATGTTTTTTATGGGAACAATACCGTATTAATAAATGTATTTAATCATTGAATACGAAAATCATTTCATTTTGATTTATTACAATTACTTGAATTTTATGCAAATTTTTGATTTGGAAAACGACACGAATATTTAATACAAGAATTTTAAATATTTTAAATATTTAAAAGTCTAAAACATAAATAACAAATAAAATTTGTATTTTTTATACTTCATTCTTATGCCAAATAGTGTTATCTTTAGCCCAATATATAAAATCTGAATTTTAAATTTTGAATTAAATTCTTTGAGTAAATTTGAATATATTTAAAATGCTTGACCAATAAAATGGATAGAATTTCTAAGCGATTCTTATCGTATAATAAGATCTCAATTATTATTAAAGCGATGTTTGAAAAAGATTTTATTATTATCATAATGTTTTGGAGGACTCTCTATTCAATCGTCAATTTAAAGTTTAAATGCATTTGACTTGTAATTAAAATAATCAAAATAAGAGTAAAAGCTTATAATTAATGACTTTATATGAATATAAAAATTAATACATAAAGAAAAACATGTTTTACTTTTGTTTTTCATTCGCAATAATATTAATCAAAAATCTCTCATACGTTATCTGAAATTCAATTCACTGTCCCTTATATTTGGCTTTCATTATTACCTTAACTAAGCCTTTGAACACCAGTTTCTCAGTTAGATTTAGCTCATTGTGTCGGTGCTGTGAATATTTGTAAATTAATTTCGATATTATATTTTTTTTGAAACGTCTTTGATATCAAAATATTTATGAAAAAAGTCTTTTCTGTTGCAAATGTTTAACTCTTTAATTACAAGGACTTCATATATTTATTTTTGATTCACTTGTCAAACAAATCATTATTTCTCTCTCAGTCTGTTTATAAAATTCATTGTTTTCTGATATTTGTTTTAATTTTCAATATAAATGATAAATCATGAGAATATTCTTGAAATTTAATACAATGTGCTGTCTTAATTTATTTGACACTTTTATCTTAAATATATACATTTCAAGAATTAATGTTTTATTATTTAATTATTTGCTATTTTATTGCTCTTTATATACAGAAATTGAAAATCAATTTTTGAGTCCATTTCAAGAAATTATTATAATTTACAAAAAAATTATTTTTTTCACAATTTTTCTGTCAGAAACTTATATATAAATATGAATAACTCTCAAGTATTTTATATAACTTCAAATGTGTTATTAATCAATGATTAAGCAATTGTCCGCATATTTATTGCTCTATATATAATCCTTTGTCTCCTAATTGTATCCTTGAATTAATGCCAACTCCATCGGCAAGTATTGAACAATCAGTTAATTTATATATAATTTTCAATGAATGACAAAATCATATGTGAAACGAAAAAAGTGTTACCTTTTTTAAATACAGTAATATTTTTTAATTGCATATAATTATTAAATTTATGGATAAAAATTATTTTATAATTATTCCAAATGTTTTTTGATTTGTCTGAAACAAGCAAAAATATTAAATACACGCATATTTTAATGACTATTTTTAGATTATCAGCAAAAATCTTAAGAGCCTTTTAAATAATACTGTTTTTGGTTATGAAAAAACAGATGATTTTTGGGATTTATTTGTTTTTCCCAAAACTTTAAGCACAAAAACAAATTCAATATTAGGAGAAAAATGCGAATTATTTTTGCGTTAAAATCTTATAAACATTTTGTTCATAAAAAGATGTGTTTGACGTGTAAATAATGATTTGTTATTGAATTAGGAAAACATGAAAAATATATTTATTTTCTACACAAATATTGATCCCATAATTTATTTATATACTGAGGAATCTAAGACTTAATTAATGTTTCCAATATTGATGTTAATTAAAACGAGGGCTTAAAGCCTTGAATTAAAGGCGATCACAAACACTAAAACTATTAACTACTCCTATAAAGAGTATCTGTTTTTTATTCATCACTAACTCACAGAATATATATTGGATTTGTTGATGGGTTTAACCAATTCATGATTTCTCCGAGTCTTTGATTTTTGATTTATAATCTCATTGTCATACGAATCGATGCATTCATACAGTTCTCTATTTAGCATTGAATTCACAAATAGTATATCAATATACTTTTCAGTAGTTTTATATCAGCTCTCTCTCTCTCCCTCTCTCTCTCTCTCTCTCTCTCTCTCTCTCTCTCAAAGACATTCCCAAATGATTTGATTTCNTCTCTCTCTCTCTCTCTCTCTCTCTCTCAAAGACATTCCCAAATGATTTGATTTCTAATTGAAATTAAATTGAAAAAGAAAGAGATTTTCATTGAGAAGTAAAATTGAGATCCTATTCCGATGGAGCCATTAGTTAAGGCACACAAACGGCGACTCCAATATTAATACCCAATACTCATATATGACGCAAATAATGCGAGTTTAGTTAAGCATAACTTCATATTTAATGACTTTCAATAGTGAAACAACTATTTAATACTTATATAATTAGTTGATTGCCTCTAACCCTAACCACACGTGACGTTTGCATTGAATGCCAGAGCACTGCTTCTGTCGCCTTATAACTGGAAAATACTTTTCAATACAATTAACGCATTATAAGAGGGATTTTCTTCTTTTGCAATCCCTATCCTCACTCTCGTCTCCCACCCAAGTCTCAGAGTCACTGATATCACACTTTCTCACTACATATAGATAGCCATCGCTATTATTGAAACGATTTTTACATTTTTTCTCTTCAATTCATTCTCTCAAACTCAATGATAAATGTTTGCTGAGTTTCACATGCATTACTGTATGGTAACAGTGGTTTTGAGACCGAATCTGACAAAACCAATTTCAAACTGATAACTGGTTTTAAGCGAAAATTACATTTTATGCACACATTCTGTGCATTCATAAGAGCTTTGAGTGAATTAGAAAGGTGTTTTTTATTCTGAAGTTTCTACCAGTTTCTGAAGTTTTTTATTTCATTTGCTTAGCGTTTGTTTTTTCTTTATGTGTGCTTTTCATGTGCTGCAAAACTGATTTGCAGTTTAGCTCGGAATCTACTTTCACTTTGGAGTCATTCCATCCCAAACCCAGAGAGTATCTCTCATTCATTTGTCAGTCACCACCCGTACCACCCGTTCCCGTTTGGTTCATTCGCTTCACTCTTTCAGTTTATAAAAGTTGTTCTCCTGTTTTGTAGTCATTTCATATCGTTTTTGAAAAACTCGACAAAACTTTTATGTGTTTTGTTTTTTCAACTTCACATCAAACCTGTGATACAATTAGTTTCAAAATGCTTTTTATGACAGTTATCGCGAAATTTGAAGAAAAAGTAATCATATTTCGGGAATTATTATGATATTTTCAAATATAATATGTTTAATAAATTGAATGCATTTTGTGAATAGTTTCTGTCGATCTCGACGTCTCCGGGAAGAGACCGACGCTTTTCGTCGACGTCGACGTCGACGACCAGTTCGGTGCAGTCGGGACGACCCGCTTGGGTGGAGAAGGAGTTGGCCGGACGTATACGAGTGCCCCACACTTTCAATGTTCGAAACTACAAACTGCCGACAGTCTGCCAACACTGCAAGAAGCTGTTGAAGGGACTGTTCAGACAGGGCTTGCAATGCAAAGACTGCAAATTCAATGTCCACAAGAAGTGCGTCAATAAGATCCCGCAGGACTGCACCGGAGAGGCGCCCAACGAATACGGAGAGAATCCCGACGACGACAGCCTCGAGAAGGACGACGACAAGAATGAGTCCGATCTTGAGAATGAGAGCTCTTATGAGAAGGGGAACGGCTCTCAAGAAGAGGAACTCCAGACCAAACTACAGGCCGTCACGTATGCTATCGTTTCGTTATATTCATTACATTCCTTACGTTCTTCTCTTATCACTTGAATTGTATTGCATTTGTATTTACTATGAATGCTATTATATACTCAATATTCGTAATATTTGTTGATTACGATTAGTCTTGTGATTAGGAATTCTTGAAAACAATCATATGATACACAATACTATTTGAATTACTTAATGATTACACAATTCTGTGTAATACTGAGAATTATATTATGATAAAATTGTTCTTATTTGATAACTTTTCATCTTGGTGTTAAATTTAAATACCGTAATAATAAATAATAGACTACAAAGTAGT